AGCTTATAACTGGGCCATACGGCTGAATCCAGTCTATTCCCAAGATTATAAGGTACTTGTAAGGAGGGAGTTACATAAAATGATATGCGTTCTGTGTTATCTTTGAATGTCAGTTGTAAAGGCACTGTGTGATGTAGGATCGGTCCTGCCTTACTGGCTGCCCATCAATAGTTACAACAGTCATAGGACATTCTAGGGTTTGAACTGGCAAGTTTAGTTTCTATTCTGTACTCCATATCTTTGAAATCTGTAGTTAGCCCTAGAGAAGAAAGCTCCACCTTATGCCTGGAAATTGAAAGTAACAATAACAGAAACAATTAAAGATGCTAGTTTGTTCTCAGCTGCCTGAGATGTCCTCAAATGGTGGATGCTTTGGAGCTTGGGGCTGGGGGAATTGGGGAAGGTGACAAAGTTTCCCTGAGGCACTGTCTGGGCATAAGCTGAGCATTTGCTGACTTCGTGCTCCATCAACAAGTTGAGCAACTTGTGACCATCGTTGGTGCTTTTACCAGGCATGACTTGGCTATGGGTCCAGGGGCTCCACAGTGTCCTTGGTCTCTTCTTCTTGGCTTCTCTCTCAATGTCAGGGATCTCCTGGCTGCTCCAATTTGCACGGGTTCTCCTATGTCAGATTCCAAGGAGGTCGTTGGGAGGGGTAGACAGGATGTACGTTCATTTCTTCTTCCCGTTTCCCTCTTCCCTCAACTCCAGTTGAGAAGCTATAATTATACAGGTAGTCCTGAATTTACAACAGTTTATTTAATGACTGTTCAAAGTTACAGCGGCACTGAGAAAAGTGACTTATGACCATTTTTCATACTTACAACTGTTGCAGCATTCCCATAGTCACATGATCCAACACTTGGCAACTGGTTCATATTTATGATGGTTGCAGTGTCCTGGGTCATGTGATCAACTTGCGACCTCCTGACAAGCTAAATCAATGGGGAAGCCAGATTCACTTACAACCATGTTACTAACTTAACAACTGCAGTGATTCACTTAACAGCTGTGGCAAGAAAGGTTGTAAAATGGGGCAAAATTCACTTAACAACTGTCTCAATTTAGCAGCACAAATTTTGGGCTCAATTGTAGTCATAAGTTGAGGGCCACCTGTACTACATTGATTGAGCCCTTCCAGGGTATTTGGGGTACCTTGCCTCACCAGCTCCTCTTTTGGGTCATCAGCTAGCCTTTCCATGAACTGGTCAATTAGAGCAATTAGGTCATTCCAACCTACTGAAAGATATTCCCTTAATGCAGGGGTGAAATCCAGCAGGTTCTAACAGGTTCTGGAGAATCGGTAACGGAAATTTTGAGTAGTTTGGAGAACCGGCAAATACCACCCCTGGCTGGTCCCAGAGTGGGGTGGGAATGGAAATTTTGCAATATCCTTCCCCTGCCATGCCCACTAAGCCACGCCCACAGAACCGGTAGGGAAAAAATTTGGATTTCACCCCTGTCTTAATGTCCTCTGTCCGTTCTTGAGCTTCCAAAATCTTGACTAGCTATGATTCCAAAATCTTGACTAGCTACAATTCCAAAATCTTGACAACTATGATTCTCTGTATGGGATCTCTGTATGGCATCCATTTGAGTTTATGCATTAAATTGTCCAGCACTGGATCATTCCCCTTAGTGAACACTATTGCCCACTTAATTGTTGCTTCCTTCAGCAGGCTCAGCACAAAAGTCACTCCATCCAGTCTGCTGACCATAAATATTTCATTCTGAGAGATGAATGTCCGGAATTGATCCTGGTCCCCTGCCCAAATGTGTCTGGCAAGCTGTCATGGAAACACAGAAGCATTGAGTTGCTGTCTGTTGCACTGCTGCTGATTGAGACATATTTTGCCCCAGTCGCTATGTTAGTTGTATTATGGCATTCTGTAAGTTGTCACCTGGGCATCTATTTGCTGTTGGTATTGTAAGAACACAGCTGCCAGATGCCCAGTGCTTAACAGGATTCCTTGAGGATCAGAGGCCATTCTTGAAATTCTTCTGTTTGGAAGAGAGTAATTGACAAGACTGATATCAGCCCTCCCAGGTAAATTAGACAAAAAATATGACTAGATGAGCTACTTTATTGTAAAGCTACTTTAACAGAATTTAAATCTAAATTTAAATTTTTTAAAATTAAATCTAAATTTAACAGAATCTATGTGCCAGAGCTCACTGTAACAGCATTGCCAAAAAGGTAGTAAGAGTTGTTAACCTAATCTTGCAAAGCTTCTTCTCCGGTAATATTGTACTGCAAACTAGGGCATACAAAACCTTTGCTAGACCAATTCTCGAATACAGCTCATCTGCCTGGAACCCACACTGTATATCAGACATTAATACAATTGAGTGAGTCCAGAGGTATTTCACGAGAACGGTACTCCACTCCTCTGCTCACAACAGAATACCTTACGCTACCAGGCTTGAAATTTTGGGCTTAGACAATTTAGAACTACGTCGCCTTCGGTCTGACCTAAGCATAGTGCACAAAATTATCCATTACAATATCCTACCTATCAATGACTACTTCAGCTTCAATCGCAATAATATACGAGCACACAATAGATACAAACTTAAGACAAACCGCTCCAAACTCAATAGCAGAAAATAGAGTGGTCAATGCTTGGAATGCACTACCTGACTCTAGGATTACTTCCCCCAAACCCCCATAACTTTAACCTTAGACTGTCTACTGATGACCTCACCCCATTCCTAAGAGGTCTGTAAGGGGCGTGCATAAGCGCACCAACGTGCCTATCATCCCTGTCCTACTATCCCCATTTATTCGTATCCATATCCTGTATTCATAATCATGTTTATACTTGTATCTGTTATCTAATACATGTTTGACAAATAAAATAAAAATAAATAAATAAATAAATAAATGTTGTAAGTCTGAAAGTGCAATGTTTTCCATTGCCACCTTTAACTACTTGATCCATTGGGAGGATGGGTCCTTCTTAAGTTTTTTTCTCCAACTGTTTTTAAACACTGGGAGCTCTTGCCTCTCTTGTCTGACTGTTTTCCCAATATCATTTCCACATTCCATTACAAAAAAATCATCTTTTCTAAAACATCTCACAGGGTTGTTCTTGTGGGAAAAATAGAAGGAGGAAGAGAAAGGTACATTCTCTGCCTTCAGTTATTTATAAACAATAATAAAGATGGGATGAAAAACAAATAAATAATACTTAATCTGATGTAGTGTAATAACTAAAACTAATTGCACAATGTTGGGTACTCAAAAACAAATCCTCTTGAGTACGATCTTGTTTATTTCTAGATATGTGTCTTTACAATAGCTGCCTGAGATTTGGAGAACTAGCTGTTTGATTTCACTTGTGTTTGGACTGCACAATTGAGAACTATTTTTTTACATGGTTTGCTAAACGAGCCATAGTGACCTGGTCTGTATATACTATTAAAACTATAGTAGTGAGTTCACACATTGTGTAAGCCCATAACAATTCACATGGCTTAGTATAATATGTACACAAAGCCACCAACTCAGTCAGGATTCATATAGGTACCTCTATGACTGTGATGGCTAACCTTTTTGCTGTCACGTGTCAAAAGTGGGGGAAGCGCGGAGGGTCATGCGCGTGCGTGCCCACACCCATAATTCAATGCCCCCATGCCCTGCCCCCTGTGCATGCGTGTGCGACCCCCCCATGCTCCCCCGCTTTTGGCACGTGACGGCAAAAAGGTTACCGGTGGGCCTGGTAGGCCCGTTTTTCGCCCTCCCCAGGCTCCAGAGGCTTTCTTGGAGCCTGGGGAGGGTGAAAACGGCTCCCCCACCCCTCCAGAGACCCTCCAGAGGGCAAAAACACTCTACCAGAGCCTCCGAGCGAGCCCTGTACTTACCTGGCATCCAAAACGGGCTGTGTGGAGACTCCTGGGAGGGGAGGGGCAGCGTGGGCAGGGCCAACCAAAAATCAGCTGGCCGACACGTACATGCGTGCTGGAGCTGAGCTAGGGCAATGGCTCACATGCCCACAGATATGACTCCGTGTGCCACCTGTGGCACGCGTGCCATAGGTTCGCCATCACGGCTCTATGAGGTCTACTAGTAGCATTCATTGTTTGGGGTTGTAGAGTGAGCTTAATAAAGAAAAAGTATTAACTATCTTACAATGGTAAAAATGGTAAATTATCCCAATAGATGTATAGGAATGAATATGCAATGAACAGAATCTCCGATTCTTACATGATATATTATGCAGTCACATTTGTGATGTAGTGCGGAAATTACATTGACAAGCTGGAAATCAAGCAGCACATAACTTTTAAGTTTAAACATCATCAAGTGCTCGGAGTACCCATAAGAAAAGACAAGTTGCCTTTGTTTGTTTTCGCTGGGTCCTTTTAAAAGCCATTTTATAAAATAAGACTGCAGATCCTTTGAAATAGAAGCCTGCAACATGCAGGAACATGTTTGAAGCTACCCTCTTTCAACAAATGAAACAGTCATGTTTTTTTTTTCCACGCCAGTGCAGCTATTTTTGTAAGCTGCTCCCAGCTGACTCTCCATGCACCTGCATGCGAAGCAAAGTGGCTGTGTGTGCACATTCATGCAAATACAGCTAGAAAGAGTGTTTGACATCATCACGAAGCCTGGACAAACATATAGGTCCTTTATTGAGTCAAAGAGAGGTGCTTTGTACACAGTTTCTTTGGAAGGATTTGTACTGCCCTGTTGTAAATTAACAGTAACCAAGGATATGCGACTTAGTGCTTTCTAGATGTTTTAGGCCACTGTTTCCATAACCCTTTGTGTGGGACTGGCTGATTGGGCTTGATTCAACTTAACATCCAAAATATTTGGAAAACATCAGTTTGTCTACTTCTGAGGCAAACAGAAAGAATATTTCCACTGTAGAAGAGATTTTTGAGATATTTTATTCATGATTTTATTAGTTTAGTTTAGAAAAATTCTGTACTATTATTAAAACAGTAAACGATTAAAGCAATAATGTGGATTTAATGTTTTCTGCCTTTAGGTGTGTGACCTTAATTTCCCAGTCAGCATGGTTGTCCTTGAAAATTCTGGGAGCTGAAGTCCACTCCTCTAACGTTTCCTCAGATAAGGGTACAATTTTATTATATTATTTAATGTGTGTAAACATTAAGTTTGAATTACAGCTATAATTAATGGAATTTGACATAATTGTATTATACGCTGTGCAATGAAGCTGTTGATCCAGTACTGTGGCTTCAAATAATTTTCAAATACAGGTAGTAGTTATTAGTAGTTATTAGGTAGTTAGTTATTAGTAAGTAGTTATTAGACTTGTTTAATGACCCTCATTGGGACCTAGATTTCTGCAGTTCAGCAAAGCAGTTTTTAGGCAAAGCATCACGTGACCACACTACTTAGTGAAGTCAGTTCTAGTAGTTCCGGTTGCAGTCATTAGGTAAGGTTGCTTTATTGTTAGGCAGAGACCTCATGATTCTGTCCTGCTACTCTCATCACTGCTTCAACTTCACTTATTATCCTCCCCCCTACAATATCTCACCTCATCTCTACCACCGATCTTTGCTGCCCCCTACCATCCCAGTTGACCTTCACCATCTTCCACTGGTGAAGAGGCAGGCCTGGCCGAGGCAGCTACTGGCTCTTTGTGAGGCTTTTGCTGTGTCCATCTTACCCTCCCCCCATTCCACAGCCTACCTTTGCTGTCCCCCCCACCTGCTGACAGGCAGCCGCTGGCTCTTTGCAAGGCCTTTGGGCAGAGTTCATCCGGGGAAGCAGGGGTAGGTGGCAGAGTGCAAGGCATCCAAACAGGTAGAGACGGGAAGATTATAGTTAGTTGGGAAGTTGAAGCACATGCTGTGGTCATAAAAGCAAGATGTTTGCCAAGCATCCAAATTTTGATCACTTGACCTAGAAGCTGCTGCTGCTGAAACAGCTGTAACTTTGAAGGTTGCTTGTAAGTACTGTGAGAAGTTTTATATCCAAATATATTTTATTATTTATATTGTTTCCACCTTCCCCTTAAAACATTAACAGAATTCACAATGAGAATGAGAATTAGTATGTCTCCACTAGATAATGAACAGTCAAGCTGAAACTAAGTTAATCAACTAAAATTAGCAAACTTTCTCAAATAATTAACCCAGACCTAATCCACATATCAGTGGATAAGGTCTGTAAACACAGAGTTAATTAAATTAGGCCTCCTAGAGCAGCGGCCCCCAACCTTTTGGACACCAGGGACTGGCTCCATAGAGAGAGGTTTTTCTGCGGCCCAGAGAGGGCATGGTTTTGTGTGCTGCCTGCATCCTGTGGATGGGGCTTCGCTTGTTTGCACGGCCCGATTTATAGCATGCTGTGCCCTGGTGCTAGTCAATGGACCGGGGGGTTGTGGACTCCTGGCCTAGAGGAACTGCATGTTCACAAGAATAAACATACCTACACACACACATCCCTCAAGTGTCACTCTAGAATCAGAACATAACACCCCAGACAATCTCCCCCTATAAAAATCTGCTGCTGTACCCCATTTTTCTGCAGCCTGCCCCTAAATGCAAATTATTTTGCTTTTAGAAATAAATATTTCTTCTTTCCTCGCAGCTGTCTGGATCTCATTTTTATTTATTCTTGCACAGTCCCGGCTCAACTTGGAAGCCCAAATTATTCTGACAGTACTATTTGCTCAACGCTGTTGTAACTTTGAATAGTCACTGAATGAATGGTGGTTAAGTGAGGACTACCTATAAGGAATTAGCAGTTATTTTTGAATGGAGATGGTCGGAATTGCTCTGCCAGGGCAAGAAGAATCTTTATGTTTTCAACAGTCATTTTGTAGCTTACTACAAAGGGCTTATATCAGTTTTGTATTCTTTAAAAATGTGTTTTACAACTGTTACCAATTATAGCTGTAGATGATCTCTTGATTCTTGAAAGGAATGAACCATGATGCTTTCCACTGTTGCAATAGAGAGAGAGGTTGTAGTGGAATACCCCAGAATGCAGCATCAGTGACATACAGTAAGCAAGGACACTGATGCTTCTATTTAATCCCAAATCCAGAATTTTGTTAGAATTTAAATATACATAATAGGAATCTTTATCGGCATAGATCTGTTGAATGACTCCCTGATTTTCCTTACTAACTTCTTTTGTTCAAACTCCTAGTTATTTTTGGCACCCTCTAAAACGCTCTTCATTCTACACTATAAATCCTAATAGTGCGTCATTTTATAGTGTAAATCTTTCATAGATTATTATGTTCCTGTTGAAGAGCCAGAGAGCTGCTTCCTCTCCTGACATAATAACATTTTGTTTCTTATTTTGAAAGTTCTTTTCTGAGCACTTAGATTTTGTCTCATTCTTGAGCCCTGTTAGAATCTCTCTCAGATTCTTTGCTACCAATAATCCCCAATAGCAATAAAGGCAGTCCTCGATTTATGACCTCAATTGAGCTCAAAATTTCTGTTGCTAAGCGAGACATTTGTTAAGTCAATTTTGCCTCATTTTATGATCTTTCTTGCCACAGTTAAGTAAATCGCTGTAGTTGTTAAGTTAGTAACATAGTTGTTAAGTGAATTTATTATTATTATTATTATTATTATTATTATTATTATTATTATTATTATTTATTATTATTATTTCAATTTATATGCCGCCTTTCTCCGAAGATTCAGGGCGGTTTACAATGCATTTAAATCTGGCTTCCCCATTGACTTTGCTTGTCAGAAGGTCACAAAAAGTGATCACATGACCCCAGGATACTGCAATCGTCATAAATACGAATCAGTTGCCAAGCATCTGAATTTTAATCACATGACCTTGGGGATGCTGCAATGGTCATAAGTATGAAAAATGATCATAAGTCACTTCTTTCAGTGCCATTGCAACTTCGAATGGTCACTAAATGAACTGTTGTAAATCGAGGGCTACCTGTATTGGATTAGTGTTGTCTTAATTTCTAAGGACATTCATTTTTCTGAAATTCTTTAGAGTATGTGCTTTTTTGGCATTACAGTTGTGGTTTTTGTTGCGAAAAAGGAATACTTTCCAGCATTCATGCATGTATGAAAGGAATTGAAGAAGTGAAACTTGTGTGGAAGGCTGACTGTCAGAGTTAAGATTTGTTAAGAGAAACAGATGAGCACCGCCCCCTAGGATCAGACCCCCCTGGAAAGGGGAAATCTTTACCTTTACCTTAATTGAGTTTTGGGTATGTTGATTAGGAATCTGTGATAGCTGCTAGTCCTGTCCCCGGAAATGCCTTCTAACAGTTTATGGCTTCCATGTTATCTCTCTTTTATTTATTTATCTAGTGGGTAGGTTGGATTAACTTTCTCTTTATTGTTCAATTTCCAGCAAAACTTCAGTACGCTAACAGATTAACCTTCTTTGTGTGATTCTGTTGAAACATTCTGTCTTGAGGAATGTATAATGCTCTGTCTCATTGATTTATGCTTTAATTTTGGAATGCTTTTAATTAATGCATTAGTTCTGTGACTTTGTTCTATGCTGCTAGTGACTCTTTTTTTTACATTTTATAAGAATTACTGAAATAATAAAACTGCATTAACCTTTGTATTATTTTTGTTACTTTTTAAAATTTTTAAATGGTTTTATCATAGCCTATATCAGTGATGGCTAACCTTTTTGCTGTCGCGTGCCAAAAGTGGGGGGAGTGCGAGGGGGTCATGCGCGGGCATGCCCACACCCATAATTCAATGCCCCCCACCCCACCCCACACATGCACGCGCAACCCCCACACTCCCCACACTTTTGACACGCGATGGCAAAAAGGTTAGTGGTGGGCCCAGAAGCCCCGTTTTTCGCCTTCCCCAGGTTCCAGAGGCTTTCTTGGAGCCTGGGAAGGGCAAAAATATCCTCCCCTGCCTCCTGGAGGCCCTCCGGAGGCCGAAAACACCCTCCCAGAGCCTCTGCCCAAGCCCTGTACTTACCTGGCATCCAAAACAGGCCGCGTGGAGACTCCTGGGAGGGGAATGCATACTGGAGCTGAGCTAGAGCAACGGCTTGCATGCCCACAGATATGGCTCCGTGTGCCACCTGTGGCACGCATGCCATAGGTTCGCCATCACGGGCCTATATGATTCTTGCATCTAGTCTCTATTTTATTTATCTTATTAAAAAGCATTAGGTGAAAGTTGCAGTTGATTAAAACAATGTTATGTGGTGTGGGTGAAGGTCAATCTCTATGGCCTATCTCATGATGACTGCAGCTATAGATGTTTGCAATTCAGAATGTAAGAACAATTTAATGATTAATTAGTTTAATGATTATGAATTACTATATGACAAAAAGCGAAAGAAAGAAAGAAAAATGATTTCTTGGTGCCTGTGAAACTAAGAAAAAGGGGAAATATGTAATGAAATTGAAGAAAGATGGTCTGATTTTGTGGGATATAATTGATGAATGCATGCCTAGAAGTGGAAATGTAATTTTAATTATGAATAATAGACCTGAAATATACATCAGCAAATGAACTGGAGTAACCTAGGCTGTAATGGTGTGTTTGAAAGCAGGAATCAATAACAATAGCAATTAGACTTATATACCGCTTCATAGTGCTTTACAGCCCTCTCTAAGCAGTTTACAACATCTGCATATTGCCCCCAACAATCTGGGCCCTCATTTTACTGACCTTGGAAAGATGGAAGCCTGAGTCAATCTTGAGCTTGTCAAGATCGAACTCTAAGCTGTGGATAGAGTTAGCCTGCAATACTGCATTCTAACCACTGCATCTCATTTCAATGAAGGCTGATTATGAAATAACTAGAAATGAGGGTTTGACTGAATAATATCTGGGAAAATTATTCTGCTAAATGACATAAATATATGACTAGGATTGAGACAAAAGAGTACAGAAAAAATAATTATGTTGAAAATGATAATTAGTAAAGGCATTGAAAAAGATCTGCTTTGAATGTTTTAAGTGTAAACCCATTCACACGTGATTGATTTGATTGAGAGAATTTGAGAAGGGTGCAAGGGATATCAGAGATTCTGAATGTGAGAATGGCCATTTTGTGGATGATCTCAATAATAAAATTTGAGAAAAAACTGGAGATGGAAGAAAAGAAAGAGTGAAAGAAATCAGAATGAA